CATAATTCATATGCATGCATAAAGTTAATAATGAGTGTAGCATATAAATATACATATAGCCTGTCATTAAGAATCTGAGTTTGGTAATATAATAAAGGAAACAACAACGTCATATAGATAAATACGATTTACTTCAGCCATACCTTGTCTTGTTAGAATATTCAATATTGATCTGCGCTCCAAATCGTAGTAACAAATATCGATTGTAGGGTACAACCCATCGATTATCCAGATCAACGCCGCCACAGTTGAAAACTCTACCATTGTTCCGCCGACGATATTTAGCAAACCCAGTTTCATCAATAGTTGTTTGAGAAGAGTATTCCTTGGGGTAATGCTTACTACATTTCCCATTCTTCATGCACACATTATTAGGACGTACTGTACCACACGGGCCATGCATCATTGAACTTGTGACAACTGCATACAGTTCAGGATCAAGATCAGGATCCGGAATTTCAGCACATATTATGAAATCAATAGCCGCAGGACCATGGAATTTATTCTCCGAGGCCAAAAAAAGCAATATGTGTGCATGAGGGAGGCCCCGCTTTTGCCATTCAATTGCTTTGACATCTGTACAACAAGATGCAAATAGTGGAAAAGGAATATCAGTTCAATGAGGTAAGAGAGTAATGGATGAACATTAATAGATAAATAACGAATGAATAAGCACACATACATGCATTGATTTTCCCAAATATTTGTTTCTCGCGAATCTCTAACATAAACTCATCAAGCTTGATTTTGAAAACTCTGGCGGTGATGTCAGCCCGGTCAGGATCTTTGCCACTATACCTTCTAATCAAATCAACCATTAACTGTATCTCTGGCTAGTTAGAATTGCAAGTGAATGTTATAAACAAATCAGGATAACCAATCCACTTGCAAATAGCCATCGCATCCTGAAAATTCTCATACTTGTATCTTGGACTACCAGTGTGTGAGGCAGCTAAAATAACTGGCTTCCCAGAAATCTTGATATCACTATCCCCTCGCAAATAAGAATTCAACAAATCCTTGTAGTAGTGTCCTCTTAGCTTCGACTGATGGGTACGCATCCAGTCTAAGCGTTCAGCCTCAATTAACGCAAATGCATTCACCATATATTGTTGAAACAATTTACCAGATAATAACAGAGAATTCGACTCCTGGAGACAGGTTTGAAGACGATATGCATAGAAATCACACTGGGTTATCATTTTATCTCCAACACTGATATTAGAGCTACTGTGACTATAGCTAATGCAGGGATGCCACCCATCCTCGCCATATGGGAATAAAATTGGATATTGTAATGCCATCAGACTTGGATGGTATACGCTAATCCTTTCCATTTCTGAACCCTTCTGTTGAACAATTATATCTGGAGAAAATGATTGCTCTCCTGTTTCATCTACAATCAATGCTGCAATCTCATTCGCAGAGGGCAAATCATATTCTCTACTATTAATTTCACGCTTAGCCAATAGTTTCAGTTGAAGCTCCTGGACACTAGAGTTTTGTATCCTATCTCGCGCAGAACGAAATGTACGTACCAGGATATTATTGTCATCAAACATATGCTGGAGGCCTTCAACAATACACTGGCGCAACGGATTCTTGGCAGGATCAGTGGAGTAAAAGTCCATACGATTCTGCACCTCGTTATCTGAATCGTGAATGTAAAGCTGTGCAAATTTCGGACTATCCCCATCACCAGGAACCAAACATCCTATTCGATGATAAATCTGACCACCGATTGAATATACATAAACTCCACGACCATCATTAATAGAGTGATTGACTTTACCTCCGAGAGAAATAAAGCAAAAACCCCCATTATAGGCTCTGATGTTAGTACGAAAGTGACGCGCTAATGGTGTATCCCCTTCAAGTAGAGTTTTAAGAAATTCGGGCACATCTCTGCGGGGAGGCAATTTCACTTTACCATGTTTGCAACATAAAGGAAATGGAGGCAACACATCATTCCGTGTAGATAAAGTACTCTCGAACCGCCACATAACTGCTCCACAATGTTGACACGTACATGAAGGTGGACCAATATCAAAAAATTCAACCAACGGAAGACCTAGTGAAATAGATAAGTAATATTAATAAATTTTTGTCACAGTAATTCATAAATTGAATGAGATTGAGAAACTGTGAAGCCGATTTAGGCGCGCTACAGTAAACACAATTATTAAAATAAATGTTCTCAAGGCAAGATAGATTGGTATACCGCTCATTTTAAGTAAGAATAAGTCAAATTTCAGGAAACACCAAAGTTTGTTCATAACACACAAATTTGCCGTTGACACATCAACATCTAAAAACAATCCACTATTTGCATAAGGTGACATGAAGCGTACATCACTAAATTATATGCATGGCATAAATGGGTACATTATATGTTCTAAAACCAAAATAGAGATGAACCATTTCATGTATAATAGTGGCCATTAGAATCCACATACTTTGATTGACTTCTGTAGGAAAGAAACTTCGGTCACGTCTCTTTCTATGCAGATGAATACGTCGAAGTAATCGACTTTGCTTTTGTAATAGAAATCTAAACTCCGGCTCCAAAACTATGAACAACACCAAAACACATACGATATTAAAGAAATAAATAAAGATTCAACAATCTAGAATAGCCTAATTTGTAAGACTTGCTACAAAATTTAGCAAACAACAACCTTGGTGTTCAAAAGGCAAGCCCCTCCTATGAACCTTCTGTTTCAAAATATGATGTCTTCTCTTACGGGCGACTTGGGATAGTATTCGCCGAAGTTGAGAGAGTTGGAATTGTAAGGCAGCTTCTTCTGCAGAATTTAAATATAAAACCATGTATTACTCATTGAATAGATGAACTAATTAGAAAAATTAAAACACAGATAACACAACTCTCTCAAATGCTTCTTCCTCTTCAGCAGATAAAACACAGCTTTGGTACTGATCTTCAGGATGAATAAACACTGCTCGACGTTTCTCTAAACAAATGAGATTCAAGGGAAAATATTAATGTCAGTTTGCATTGAAGCAGTTGCGTGCTAAACCATGACACTCACATGGTACAGACGATCGATAAATCTGTGGTTGGGCAGATGGGATGACATTTGCACTATCCATATTAAATTCTCCAATAACCTGATGCAATCTGAAATAGAGGTCGTGGTAAATGATGCACCCGTTCCAGTAAATTTTGCAGCTGCCATTCATATAAATTAATTAATTGTTACAACAGAAGTTGAACTCCTCACCAATTATAAGTTTGTGCGAGTTAATGACACATACAACACACCACACAAACATAACAGTCGAAGAAAAATATAACTATATAAGGCATAATTTAAATTGATGAACAAAACACATATAACATAATGGCTTCCAAGCTTGGGGATGCAAAGGAAGAGCGAGAAGGACAACAATGTAATGGCCAACACAAATATAATTCAAAGGCATCCATAAAAACCATATCCAAAGAGAAGTTTGAAAAAGAAGCAAGCTGACAATAAGAAAAGCACTATAAGTGCTTACCAATTCTAGTTCTTCTAACTATACCAAGCTTATCCCTTCTTTCAATTATGCAGTTTACGCTTTGTACTTTTAGCACAAATGGATTCCAACTCTAATGTCACAATACAAATACAATGCAAATGAAGTTTAAGAACAATAAAACAAACTAATGGAGTGAGATAAAACTGTCCAATGATCTTATGTAATAACGGGAAAAAAGCCTGGTAGAACCAATACACTAACCAGTGGAGCATGCTTATCAATACCGCCTACTTTATACTTCTTTAGTGATTAGAGCTGAAAGTACATTATCAGATCATAGCCAGTCCCATTAGATTAATTAACCTAGAAACATATGAGAGAAAACCTTACTGATCAAGTTGGATTTCGACATTTACCTGCAACAGAGTTAACATCAGAAAGTAAATTGATTATGTCTCATACGTGGTGGCGGGTGGGGGACGGCGCGCCAAATTTCGTCGGCGATGGGCTGGTTCTGGACTCAAGTAGGCTGGGCCTCTAAAGTATGGGCTGGCGAGAGAAATGGATCCCCGAGGCCTTATGGTTTACGCTTTCCTTTTCCCCCGCCAAGCCAGCGGTAGTTTATAGCCGGCCCTTCGGTTTACTGACCCGGAAAACGACCCGGACGAAGTACCTGGCTGCCGAACGTCTCTTTCTTTCCTCTTCTTTCTCTGCGGCCCGGAAAAACTCAGCTCAAAATCGGCAGTCGGTTGCTCTCTGGAAGACAGTCTAAGCGAAGTGGAATTTAAAGTAAGCAGCTTTGTTACTTTCAAGAGAAAGGGAAAAATCAAAAATCCCCTTTTGATCTCTAGAGAATCCAATCAACAGAATGAAGCGAGGAAGGTAAGAGAGAATAAAGAAAACGGAATGAACCAAAGGTAAGGGAGATGAATCTTTGCAACCGAATCCCTGAAAAAAAAACCCAGAACCCGAATCCCTAAAAGTTAAAAGCAGCGACAACAACAAACAGAAATCTGAAAGAGGAAGAATAACTTACGGCAAAACCAATACCGATCTAACGCTTAGAGAACGGAAATCAAAGGTAGATGCAAGCACATAAAAGAACCAGATGATTGAGTCAAGGTTTGGTTTTCTGAAGGCCAAGAAACTTATTCGAATGAGGTGAAAGAGTGGAAGGAAGGGAAATCGGAAATAAAAAATACAAATTAAATGAGAACGTGGGTCTGGAAAGAGAAAAAAGTGGGTAGTGGAGAGTTTTTTATACAAATTAAATGAGAACGTGGGCCTGGAAGGAGAAAAAGTGGATAGTGGAGAGTTTTTTGGTTTTGAAATCAGGCGGGACTCTTTTTTCCCCGCTTAACACTCTGCCACATCAGCTTCCTAAAATCACTCTATGGGCAAGAAATTTTGAATGGGGTTGCAGTTTTATTTTTCAGCTATAAATTATACTGTTGATGCAAAAGTACATGATTAACAAGAATGGGATATAGAGCTCAAGTCGGAAGTACCTATTAGCAACAACATATAGTAGCAAACACATCAAATCCAAGCTCCCCTGCCGCCGTCTTCTTTTCTTCCTCCCTAGAAGAAACCGTCTTCTCCTTTCCTGCCAGCGAAAAAGAAAAACCCAATAAGCTTATCCTAGTCAAGTTGAGCCTCTTGCCCATTCCCCCACAACCCAAACTAGAATCCTCTGTTGATGCTACTTCCAAAGAAGAATCCCCTCACAACCCCTCCTAGCAGGCAAAGTCGAAGAAGAACGACATGTCTCCGCTCCCTCCACTGATGAGACCCAAGAGGTTAGTCCTCTCCCTCCACCGCCACACTCTCCGCTTCCATACTCTCCGCTTCGCCTGATTCTCACTGCCATCAACCTGCCACCATCTCCTCTTCCATACCTCTCGTCCTTCGTCATCGCCTGCTAACTTGTCTTCACTCTGTTCGTCGCAACCTAGGGTTCTGACTACTCATTATAATTTGCATGTAGAAAGGAATATGAAATTAGTAGAAGTCTCAATTAATTTTGTTTCCCAATAGAAGAATCGAAGGATTCAAAGAAAGGAGGAAGAAGGAAGGAGAGAGGAGAGGGCAGGAGAAATTCGTCCCTGGTCTGCGTGAGGAAGGAAAGAGAAAAGGGAGGAGAGGATAGAGTTGAAATAAACTGGTCGCACAACGAGTTATTTCAGAATAACTGGGGGGCACCCAGTTATTCTCAATACCGCATTTTCACGTTGTAGTCCATTTCCGTCGTGCGAGTAATGCCAGCCTCGCGCTCAATCATCAGTTTGCATTTTGTGCCCATTGTCGTCAAAAAAGGGTTCCGGTTCCGAATTTGTGTCCGTTTGGCGACATTAGGGTTTCTGGATTGGGTTTTGGGAGTCCTCAGGTGTTTGTGTCTTTTGAAATTGTTTGTTAGCTAGTGGATCTGCAGCTGGCTGTGTTTGATGTGATTTCATCCTGTCTTTGATACATTAGTTGTCGTGCTTGCTCACTTCGTTTCCATTTCTCAAGCACTTATTTTATGTGATTTGACTACTTTGCTGCTGTTGATTCTGATATCAGAAAGTCAAACTTTCATTTTATGCGCCTGGTGCGACAGAGTACTTCGAGTATGAAATTAAAGTGGTCTTCGTTCATTTGTCCTCAGGGTCTCTCTTTCTCTTGCCAGTTTCCCTTCTTATCTGAAGCTATTCAGAACATAAAGTTCTATATACCTTCTAACTAAGAAGTAAACGTAGTTCATCTTGCACTTCTGTTCATTCATTGCCTTCTAACTGAAGCCACTTACTCTTTTATTTCATGTTTAGGTTTTGGCTCTTCAAGATAGTGCAATTTACGTGTGGTAGTAATAATCATATCGAATCCATGGTAGACAATGGCCCTCTTTAGGAACTATTCATCTGAAACAATCACAAACAGGCCAGCTGAAGGAAAGGTTCATAATCCTGGTAGAATGGTTGGAAGCGAGGATGTTGATGGGTCTTCGAGTGAAAGAGAATTCGATATGAACATGGATCCACGGTACGAAAGTGAGACTGAACTAGCGGAGAGTAGGATGCAGAATGATGGAGTTCCTGACCATGAAGCTGGTGCAAGTAATTCACATTTTCAGCCTTCTTCTGGAAAGAGAAATGTCTCTGGGAAATGGGGCTCAAGTTTTTGGAAAGATTGCCGACCTATGGGCATGTAGGGGGCATCTGATTCGGGGCAGGACTCAAAATCGGACTTCAAGCATGTTGAGGTTTCAGAAGATAATGTATCAGATGGTGAAGTGAAGACGACAGATTAGAATCAGAGTATGAAGAAGAGGCAAAAGAATCACAGAAAGATTTGAAGGGACATTCTGATGTTCCCGCCGATGAGATGTTGTCGGATGAATATTACGAGCAGGATGGGGAAGATCCAACTGATTTGGGTCATTACAAGGGTCTTAGCAATTCAGCCGGATTGAATTCTAGGCAACATTCAAAGCCTGCGCCAGTTGATAATCATTTGTCTAGGAGTTCAAGTGCTCTGCGGAATAATAGAGTTGACGACAATGACGATGATGCTGATTACGAGGAAGAAGAAGATGGTAACTGCTTCCATTCTCTTGTAACTGGGCTTGTCACAAAAAAATCTGCTTGATTATAACTCTGTTTGCATAGTGTTTGTGGAAAAGCTGATACGTTTGGAGCTTGGGCTGAAATGATATTTTTATTTGCTTATTGTAGAAGACGATCCAGAGGACACTGACTTTGACCCAAGCTATGGTGGAAATAGTGTGCGTCTAGGGAAAAAGGTCAGCATCAGTTTCATTCTCACATCTTTCATTTGATTCCTATTTCTCGTCAACCACTTCTTGATCAAATTCTGCCTCTTTTCTTTCCATTCTTGATAGCTTCTTTGGCAAGTAATAAAAAACGTGTAGAATTTGGCCATATGGGTTCATATCAGTGACCACCAAAGAATTGATTTCGTATGTTGTTCCTTGCACTCTGATGAGAGAGAGGGAGAAAGAGAGAAAGCATTTGCATGATCGAGTAAATGCTGCTTTTGATGCTTGTTAGTTGTGGTCTAATGGTTGAAAGCCTTTTTAGTTTTAGGATGAAAGCTTACTAAATTAGCTGAAACTTTAAGTGGATACAAGGAAATTAGTTTTCTTTGGAGGTTTAGTAATACGTTATGGAATATACTTTTAACTTCACTTATGATAGGAGGAGGAAAATAGTTTTTGAATAGAGCCATGGACTTTTCTTTCATTTAGTTCCAGTGTGATACTTATCCCGACTTATGTTGCCAAATACATTAGTGTCCTCCTTCCTTATTGGCTGTTTGGGATGTTGCCAGGATATATGGTCTTGATGATAATACCATAGGCTTCATTGGTCATTCCTTGGCGCTGCATAGAGACGATCGATATCTTAATGAACCTGCTATAGATACAGTGAAGAGAATGAAGGTATAACTTTCTGGGTTTCTGGTGGTCATTCAACTTAAGTTCTATTTTGTATATTTTCTTATTTTTTAGGATTAATACTCTAATTTGGCCCAAAGTTTAGTGTAAGTGACCGTTCTGTCCTCATTTTCAAATAAGACATTTATGACCTACTTTTGAAATTATTGGACAAATTTGGCACGATATTTGTGTTGACAGTTAAAACTGACGGTCAAATATTATCACCGTTAATGACTCAAAAAAACTGCTGAAATGGCAACGACATGGCTGCCATGTCATTTTCACAAAAATTAAAAATTAAAAAAATAACATCAAAATGAAATAAAAATTAAAAATTTGAAGAGAAAGAAAAGGTCGTCTTCTTCACTCTCCCTGTTTGGACAAGACCTATATCTTCTTCCCTTGGCACTGGATGCTACTCTAATTTCACGAGAAAATCCTCGGGAGCTAGATCGGCGGGTGACCCACCCCAGCCAGTGAACTCCTCCCCGTTCGAATCCCTTACGACGTTGCGAAACCCACCAGTTTCTCGCCTCTGCTTATAATGACGAGAAGAACCCAACCCTGTCACTTTCCTTTATTTCTCCCCAACAATCAGCCGCCGCCCTGCTCGTCTCTGCTTTCGACGAAAAGCCGCTGCCAATCTCTGCTTCTAATCTTTCCCCAGCTAGTCGGCGAGTCCAAGACAAGAAGAACGAGACTCACCGCTCTCTGCTTCAGATCTTTGCCAGCCAGCGGGCGAGTCCGATGCAAAAAAAAAAAATGGGTCCCTCCGCCCTCTCTTGGCCAGCTGGAGACATTTCCGAAGAAGCTTCATCGGTTCAACAAAAAAGCTAGATCTAGCGCATGGGAAGTTTCAAATGGGTAGGAGAAGGGAAGTTAATTGGAAGAAGGTATTAACCCTATTTGTTATGCATTAAGTGATAACATCCTCACTTGTTCCAGCTGTATGCCGAGTCTCTTGCTCGTTTTCAAGGCGGATCCCCTTATATTTACCTTTTGTATGAATTGGGAGAGTTGTCGCAGGTTCACACTAATCCAGTCACTCTCATTCTTGTTTTCCTTCTCTCCCCTTCTTTTGTTGCTTTACTTTTACTTACAGTATGAAGCCAAGACCTCTCAATGTAACTCGAGTTGACCTTTCTAAAAATATCATGTCAGGCATTTGCACGGCTGAGTGACAGTCTATGGTGGTACATATATGTTGAACAAACCTGATTGCAAGGTACTCAATCATGTGTTTGGCTCTGTGACCTAAACTTATATAGCAAAATGCTACCTGGACCTTTCTTCCCATTGGCAAATCTGACTGGATGGCTTTGGTGTTTCAGGTAGAGTTTGATGATGAAGGCAAAGTTATTGCGTCACCTCAGAAGGAGAAACTGCTAAGTGTAAGAAAGTGGTTTGTGATTCGTCCTACTTGCCAGGAAAGGTAACATATTTCTTCGGGGCTAATGAGTATGGACATGTATAGCTTTTTTGCTTTGGACTTGTATTTCCACTTTAGTATTTACTGAAATCTATGTGGATATGAACAGGTTAGAAAGGTCGGGAATGTTGCAGGGCAATTGCCATCATGAGCCACTCAATTCCCAACACCAATGACTCTCACTCAGTGAAGTGAAGGTTATTCTGTCACAAAAGCAGTTGGGTTGCAAATCAGACATGTAAGCTATATACTTCTGATCCTTTTCCATTTAATTATTTTCTGAACCAGTAACTGTTTTAGAGCTTTGTTGTGTGATTAGGTTGGTAATTATATCATAAATCTGACAAAATATCATCCATCCTGCTGCAAACTATTAGTCTATGAAAAGAAGGGTATCAGTCTGGGCCTTAAGGACATTAGTCTGGGCTCTATTGATATTAGTCTGGGTCTTTCAAATATCTGTCTGGGTCTTTCGGATATTAGTATGTGATTTGGTGATATTTGTCCAAATAAAAAAGGTATTTGTCTGTGTTTTAAGGATGTTAGTCTACCAAAAGACAGATATTTATCTGGAAGGTTATAATATATTTTTCAATCAGAACTTATGTTGGTAATTATATCCAACATCTGCTACAAACCATCATCCATCCTGCTACAAACCATCATCCATCCCTAAATATTATCCAACCCTAAATAGCATCCACCCCTAAATATTATCCAATCCTAAGTTTAGTTTTACAAACCAATATCACACTACACAAGTCTAAAATCAACTTCTCTTCCTTTTCCTTGTTTTCCCTCTTTCTTCGTATTCCAATCTTTTTGCACCTTGAATTATTTCATCGGTCCGGCAGTTATAGTCCCATAAAATGAGGTTGGCTGCAATCTGTGCTCTTTGTTCCTCCACATGTGGCTGCTTGTGCCAACTTGCTTTATATTCCACTGGAAGGTGACCCGCCCATTGCTCCATGTAAAGGCATGCAAAAACACCGTAATCATCGTTGCCTACTTGTTGAGGAACGTCGGCAATGTTTAATGGTCATTCATCCAATGCTCAATCGACCCTCTGCTCTTTGAGGAACGCTGCCGCATACTTAAAAATTATTTTCCCAATCGGTTCATGATCCTCCTTAGCCACTCGGGCATTGGCTTAATGCAGTCGAGTAAGAAAGTTTTCTTATTCTTCATGTCAACCACGTATACCCGGTAGTGATCATTTAGATACATTGGAAAAAAGATCTGAAATACAAAGCAGTTAGTGAGTTAATCATTGACCAATATCCTAATAACCCAGATTAATATCTCAATAAACCATAATAATATCCTATAAACCCAGACTAATATAAAGGAAAATAAAAAAAAAATCTAAACATTGAAGACACTTACATAACCACATCTTTCCAAGTTTTCCCGTTTAAGAATTGGATAACTTTTGTTCATAGAAATATACGCAGGGAGTCTCGCCTTGTCCAACGGTTGTTTTTTGACAGCATTTGTGACGACATGTTGCTATTTAGAAGAGACAACAATATCAAATTAGACATTTTCAATATAAAGAGAATCTAAGTAGTGAAGATAATACTTACTACATAGCTCCATGGGAAGACAATTCTCTTCACCACCTCCTTGCGTACTTCTTTGTTATTTAAGAAAAGCCCGTATACTACAAGTACTTGACTATGCAACTAATTTTTACCCTTCAATGAAAATAGTTGGGAACGGGTAAAGTTACCGGTTGGAGTATCCACGACAAATTTGCTACTGTAAGACACAAATGAAAACCAGGTTAGAAATGTGTGTTACAGTGGCAAGTTTGTCGTGGATACTCCAACCGGTAACCTTACCCATTCCCAACTACTTTCATTGAAGGATAAAAATTGGCTGCATAGCCAAGTACTTGTAGTATACAGACTATTTCTAAATAACAAAGAAGTACGCAAGGAGGTGGTGAAGAGAATTGTCTTTCCATGGAGCCATGTAGTAAGTATTATCTTCACTACTTAGATCCTATTTATATTAAAAATGTCTAATTTGATATTTTTGTTTCTTCTAAATAGCAACATGTCGTCACTAATGCTGTCAAAAAACAATCCATGGACAAGGCGAAACTCTCTGCGTATATTATTTCTATGCACAAAAGGAATCCAATTATGAAACCGGAAAACTTGGAAAGATGTGATTACGTAAGTGTATTCAATGTTTGGATTTTTTTCCTGATTTTCCTTGATATTGGTCTAGGTTTATAGGATATTATTCTGGTTTGTTGAGATATTAATCTGGGTTATTAGGATATTTGTCAATAATTAACTCATAACTGCTTTGTGTTTCAGATTTTTTTCCCAATGTATCTAAATGATCACTACCAGGTGTGCGTGGCTGACATAAAGAATAAGAAGACTTTCTTATTCGACAGCATAAAGCCCAATGCCCAAGTGGCTAAGAAGGATCATGGACCGAATGGGAAAATGATTTTTGGGTATGCGGCAGCGTTCCTCAAAGAGCAGGGGGTCGATTATGCATTGGATAAGTGGCCATTCAACATTGCCGTCGTTCCTCAGCAAGTAGGCAACGATGATTGCAGTGTACTTGCATGCCTTTACATGGAGCAATGAGCGAGTCACCTTCAAGTGGAATATAAAGCAAGTTGGCAAAGCAGCCACATGTGGAGGAACAACGAGTACATATTGTTGTCCAATGCAGTCAAAAGCGCGATTCTACCTAGAATCGGAAAAGGGGTAAAATCGTAAAGCGTAGAATCAAAGCGTAAAAACGTATGTTTTTGACGCATACTAAAAAAATAACTAAAAATGTATTAAGTAGGACATATGCTATGCAAAATATGAATGCACATAATTTAGATAAGTCAATAAATACATGTGATTCATGCCTAAAGTAGAACAACTTATAGCATCTTAATAATAAGTTTGTAAACATAAATTTTAACAATAAGCCACTTTTCCCACTATGCTAATGGATTTGGGAAAAGCCTAACGGGTGAATTAGATTACTCTATCGAAATTGAGAATGCATCCAAGTACCTTATATGTATCTTTTAATGTCAAATGTATCATATTATTGGTGATTTACTTTTAAAATATAATTTTCATAATTAATTTCATGAAAAGAATACTCATTTAGTGAACTAAAAACGTAAAGCGTTTTGGAGAACTAGAAGCGTAAAACCGTAAGCTTTAAAGCACAATTTAGTCCGATTTCATAAACTTAAGTTTTTATTTGGAAATAAAAGCGTTTTGGTGACCTAAAAGAATAAAATCGTAAGTTTTTAAGTTTTAAAGAGCGATTTTGACTGCATTGTTGCTGTCAACCTCATTTTATGGTTTTAAAGAGCGATTTTGACTGCATTGTTGCTGTCAACCTCATTTTATGGGACTAACCGCCACACCGATGAAATATTCCAAGGTGCAAAAGATTGGAATACAAAGAAAGAGAAAGAAAAAGGGAAAGGAAGAGAAGTTGATTTTAGACTTGTGTAGTGTGATATTGGTTTGTAAAATTGAACTTAGGGTTGGATAATATTTAGGGATGGATGATGGTTGTAGCAGGATGGAGGATATTTTGCCAGATGTTGGATATAATTATCAACATAAGTTCTGATTGAAAAATATATTGTAACCTCCCAGGTAAATATATGTCCTTTGGTAGAATAATATCCTTAAAGCACAGACAAATATCCTTACAACCCAGACAAATACCTTTTTTATTTCGACAAATATTAGCAAATCACATACTAATATTTGAAAGACCCAGACTGATATCTGAAAGATCCAGACTAATATCAATAGAGCCCAGACTAATGTCCTTAAGGCCCAGACCGATACCCTTCTTTTCGTAGACTAATATCCTTGGAGCCCAGACTAATAGTAGATAAAGATGGATAACACTTTGAATCAGAAATAAAAACAAACTCAACACAATACAAAGTGATGACAGGAAATACTGATTCATTTATTCACTGTCACATCGATGTTATCTTCATCATCCGACTATGAAAAAGCGGGGAACTTTACTTCGTCTCAATCCATGTGAAAACCACACCCCTTATCATTGTCGTACTCGTACATCAGACATCGGAAATACCTCTTCGGTGGGTTGACTCCATCAACAGCAAGTCGTCTAGCGGCTCTCCAACCATGGTAATAGAGTATAACACCATCATTTTCGAACTCATCCACCAATCCCCGCGCGCGCTGGTTTACGAGTCTCTCCAAACATGGATTTTGCTTTGGAAGAGAAGTGAATAAGAAACCGAGGGAGGAGGATAGCCGATTTGGGTTTGTGTATGATTCGTCTTAAATAGACAAATGCTCATAGGGAAGTACTCTAACATGTCCTTAGAGAATATAAACAAAAAACATCACATGAGTACAGTAACAAAAAAGGTCACATGTGCATAGTGAAAGAAGTAATCATTGCTACTATTGAACCTGCTTTGAAATAACTGATATCCAGGAAGCCCAGATTAATATATGTACATATTACAAACTACATATTCAATCTGCCCAGACACGTATCTTTTACAAGTGGATTAATATCCACATCATAACAAAAAAAAAATAATGGAATCACATGTCAATATCATATCACAATAGACCACTCTCGAATCACCCTACATTTTACTCATAACCATGAGTAATATTATCATCCAAATCACTAAGATGGTCATCCGGTTGAGTATTATTGTCCAGCGTGACCACTTCAACTGATTTCATTCTCTTCTTATAGACATCTTTCTTTCGACGATGTTCCTTTTCATTCGTAGACTAATAAGGTTCTTTAACTTGGCTCCTTGGACTACTCTTCTCCTTCAAAGTCATCCAAGTTATCGGTTTATTCCGTCCTACAATGTTAGAGAACTTAGTAAATGCAATGATATTAAACTCTTACAATTTACAAATGATATTAATGAATACACTTACTGTCCTCGCTAGTTATAATCTTTGACAATGTCTTGTTTGTCTCATTGCACAGTTTCTTGAGTACTCCCATCCACTTATTGTAGTCTTTCTCGTCGGTCATTGACATGTTCGTTGCTAGCTGATTCAACATTGCAGTGGTTTCTCGGTACCGCATTGCTATACCTTTTCTCGCATCATTCTCACTGGCAGCTGAAGGACCAACAGAACCATTAACATCAACAACCTCTTTCTTTCTCGCCTCCAACGTCTATCGCTTGAGTATGTAATAATATGGAATACTTCTCATACTGGCTTCCCCAAAATCTCTCAGAAGCCACATCACATTAATCATGTGGCATCATAACACTCTCGAAAGTTATGAACATCATGCATTCGCATACCAATGTCCTCGTAGAAATATCGACGAGAACGACACGCTCATCACTACGCTCACCATCCTCTATCATATATGTGCGGTAGCCAATCATGTCATCATCCCTAGTATCTAAGAGCGTTTCCATTAGATAGGATTCAGTTTTCAAATACTGCTTCTGTATCGGGAGCGGATCAGGTCAGTAACCCTTATGGTGAGTAACCATCAAGTAACTTGTCCACATCCGCATGACATCAGCACCCCCTCTCTCATGAAAAGTCTTTTATCTTTTCTCCTTTAATTTTTAACAGACGATTTCTTTCTCGTTTTAAGTCGAAATTTAAATTTTTTTGCACAGATAAATCAGATTAAATGTGCTCTTTAAAATTATATCTATTTTGATATATTTTTAGTACAAAAAAATTGAATAATTTTTTACTAATCATTACCATATGGTATGCTCATATTTAATACCATATGTTAAGAAAACGTACCATGATGGTATGAACATACCAATATGGTAAGAAGGTTGAATACATGATAGTAGGAGTATACTAAATGTCATTTACGACTTCCATCATTGTTTACCATAAGTTACCACCCACATACCATAGTGGTAAAGTATGGTAATTTTTGGTCTAGTCTTTTTTCATCCAGAAATGGTAGATCTAATAGATCATGATGAACTCGTTCATTCTGAGCAAACGTTTTAAAAAACGACTTAAAAACGAAGAAGTTACCATATGGTATGTAATTGGTAAAAAAAAAAGTTTCTCAAAATATATTGAAAATTGATCTCATTTTGTAGAGCACAACAAACTCGTTCCATGTGTGCAAAAAAAAATTGAAATCCGAGTTAAAACGAAGAAGATATGACCCGATTATGAAAACTAAGGAAAATAAAATGTCTTTAATTGACAACCCTTAAATCTGAATTTTCTAGGCCCACTTAGATCTAAAGGGCCAGATTTAGTTACTCATAGGTTAGTAACCAATGGTTATTCACCCTATCCTAAGACTCCTGTATCCGATTGAAGATGTTAGAAGTAAAGATCTTTGCCGCATGTTGTAGGATCGTGCTGTGCTCCAACATTATATTGGGAACAGATTGTTCCCCATTTTAGCCTGAATCAGTCTCCTTGCGTCTTTTTTCAGCCAACAAACTACATTTAGAAAGCACGAGAAAAGAGTTTAGTGCCCAGACTAATATCCACTTAGACTAGTACCAATATCCCAACACAAAATAATATTTAACAAAAGAATATTAATATTCAAATGACAAAGAATAATATCCAGAACTGAAAAGCTAATATCAAAGAAAGGCAAAAAATATACTGCGTACATACCTGCTTAAGTGAATGAAAAACATGTGCATTGCACAACTCGGTTTCAAGAAAAGTCGCACTTGTGCATTGCACGACTCGTTGGCTTGCGTAGTCAACATCCCGACTCTGAATTGATCTCTCAACCATAAGGAACATCAATGATGACGAAATTTCTTCAAATATTCCAACCATGAGTGACCGTCCACAATTTCGCTATTAGGGAAACAATTAGTAACTATTGTGCTCCATGCCATGTCGAACTCTCCCTCACTGTCAATGTCGTAGAAAGTAAAAGAAAGATGAGTTTGGAACTTCTTCCAAAATACATTGTCCTTACGAAGATGCTTCTTGGCATTCATGAGGATGTGCCAAGTACAGAGGGCATGAAACACAGTACACCACTCCTTTCTAAAGGCAGCTTCCATGGCGGTGTCCTGATCCGTAAAAATAGTCACTATGAGCTTTTTCTTCATGCACCGACTAAATGCAACCAACAACCATTCAAAAGACGTTGTAGTCTCATCATACATCAAACAAGCACCAAACACACAAGTTGACGGTGGTGATTGTAAAAACTCAAGGGAATTAGGTGATTACTCTCCTACTATTATTGTTTCATGGGCCTTCGGCCCGTGGGCCCTCGGAGGGCAGCCCTAACTAAGGTTGCAAGCCTTATGTGTTAGGACTTGCTAGTGTGCCAACACATGTCAACAAATATCTGTAAATCTCATACTAGTATCTCATAATGATGGACTAATATACGTCCTGTTACAAAAGAAGCCATGATGCTTGTCCTTTTTGTCCTTAAAGTAGTCAAGCAAATAAGTCGCTTCGCCATGAGCCATTTTCCTTTGCCTTTTACTGTTCAAGTGGTTCTTCAGATCGGATGGTAAAAGTCAGATTTCGATAGCCACCAGAACAGTCAGCCAATAACTGATACGATGCACTAAGACTCATCCCAACATCGCGATTAGCTTCGACCATCTTTCTTTAAGCATCACTCATGCATTTGTTGGAGTTGTGCAAGTGCATATGCTCGATAGAGTGCAAATCATGACCATGGGTTTCTACGAATTCATACACCACAAATCTGTCCCTACTAGCATCCCATCGAAAACGAACACGGGCGGGACATCCATCCCTAACTCGAGGCCTCTTACTTTTAGGGATGTCCCGCCCGTGTTCGTTTTTGATGGGATGCTAGTAGGGACAGATTTGTGGTGTATGAATTCGTAGAAACCCATGATCATGATTTGCACTCTACCGAGCATATGCACTTGCACAACTCTAACAAATGCATGAGTGATGCTTAGAGAAAGATGGTCGGAGCTAATCGCGATGCTAGGATGAGTCATAGTGCATCGTATCAGTTATTGGCTGACTGTGCTGGTGGCTATCGAAATATGATTTTTACCATCCAATCAGAAGAACCACTTGAATAGTAAAAGGCAAAGGAAAATGGCTCATGGCGAAGCGACTTATTTGCATGACTACTTTGAGGACCAAAAGGACAAGCATCATGGCTTCTTTTGTAACATGACGGATATTAGTCCGTCATTATGAGATACTAGTATGAGATTTACATATATTTGTTGACATTTGTTGGCACACTAGCAAGTCCTAACACATAAGGCTTGCAACCTTAGTTAGGGCTGCCCTCCGAGGGCCCACGGGCCGAAGGCCCATGAAACAATAATAGTAGGAGAGTAATCACCTAATTCTCTTGAGTTTTTTCAATCACCACCGTCAACTTGTGTGTTTGGTGCTTGTTTGATGTATGATGAGACCACAACGTCTTTTGAATGGTTGTTTGTTGCATTTAGTCGGTGCATGAAGAAGAAGCTCACATTGACTATTTTTACGGATCAGGACACCGCCATGGAAGCTGCCTTTAGAAAGGAGTGGTCTATTGTGTTTCATGCCCTCTGTACTTGGCACATCCTCATGAATTCCAAGAAGCATCTTCGTAAGGACAAGGTATTTTGGAAGAAGTTCCAAACTCATATTTCTTTTATTTTCTACGACATTGACAGTGAGGGAGAGTTCGACATGGCATGGAGCACAATGGTTGCTAATTGTTTCCCTAATAGCGAAATTGTGGACGGTCACTCATGGTTGGAATATTTGAAGAAATTTCGTCATCAATGGTGTTCCTTATGGTTGAGAGATCAATTCAGAGCAGGGATGTTGACTACGCAAGCCAGCGAGTCGTGCAATGCACAAGTGCGACTTTTCTTGAAACCGAGTCGTGCAATGCACATGTTTTTCATTCACTTTAGCAGGTACTTACGCAGTATATTTTTTGCCTTTCTTTGATATTAGCTTGTCAGTTGTGGATATTATTCTTTGTCATCTGAATATTAATATGCTTTTGGTAAATATTATTTTGTGTTGTTGGGATATTGATACTAGTCTGGGCACTAAACTCTTTTCTCGTGCTTTCTAAATGTAGTTTGTTGGCTGAAAAAAGACGCAAGGAGATTGATTCAGGCTAAAATGGGAAACAATCTGTTCCCTATATAATGTTGGAGCACAGCACGATCCTACAACATGCGGCAAAGATCTTTACTTCTGACATCTTCAATCAGATACAGGAGGCTTACGATAGGGTGAGTAACCATTGGTTACTAACCTATGAGTAACTAAATCTGGACCTTTAGATCTAAGTGGGTCCAGAAAATTCAGATCTAAGGATTGTCAATTAAAGACATTTTATTTTCCCTAGTTTTCATAATCCGCTCATATCTTCTTCGTTTTTAACTCGGATATCAATTTTTCTTGCACACATGGAACGAGTTCGTTGTGCTCTACAAAATGAGATTAATTTTCAATATATTTTGAGAAACTTTTTTTTACCAATTACATACCATATGGTACCTTCTTCGTTTTTAAGTCCTTTTTGAAAACGTTTGCTCAGAAGGAACGAGTTCATCATGATCTATTAGATCTACAATTTCTAGATGAAAAAATACTAGACAAAAATTTACCATACTTTACCACTATGGTATGTGGGTGGTAACTTATGGTAAACAATGATGGAAGTCGTAAATGACATTTAGTATACTCCTACTATCATGTATTCAACCTTCTTACCATATTGGTATGTTCATACCATCATTGTACGTTTTCTTACCATATGGTATTAAATATGAGCATACCGTATGGTAATGACTGGTAAAAAATTATTCAATTTTTTTGTACTAAAAATATATCAAAGTAGATATAATTTTAAAGAGCACATTTAATCTGATTTATCTGTGCAAAAAAATTTAAATTTCGACTTAAAACGAGAAAGAAATCGTCCGTTAAAGATTAAAGAGGAAAAGTTAAAAGACATTCCATGAGAGAGGGGGTGCTGATGTCATGCGGATGTGGACAGGTTACTGATGATTACTCACCATAAGGGTTACTGACCTGATCCGCTCCCGATACTGGAGCAGTATTTGAAAACTGAATCCTATCTAATGGAAACGCTCTCAGATACTAGGGATGATGACATGATTGGCTACCACACATATATGATAGAGGATTGTGAGCGTAGTGATAAGCGTGTCGTTCTCGTTGATATTTCTACGAGGACATTGGTATGCGAATGCAGGATGTTCATAAGTTTCGAGAGTGTTATGCTGCCACATGATTAAGGTGATGCGGCTTCTGAGAGATTTTGGGGAAGCCAGTATGAGAAGTATTCCATATCATTACATACTCAAGCGATAGACGTTGGAGGCGAGAAAGAAAGAGGTTGTTGATGTCAATGGTTTTGTTGGTCCTTCAGCTGCCAGTGAAAATGATGCGAGAAAAGGTATAGCAATGCGGTACCGAGAAACCACTGCAATGTTGAATCAGCTAGCAACGAACATATCAATGCCCGACGAGAAAGACTACAATAAGTGGATGGGAGTACTCAAGAAACTATGCAATGAGACAAACAAGGCATTGTCAAAGACTATAACTAGCGATGACAGTAAGTGTATTCATTAATATCATTTGTAAATTGTTAGAGTTTAATATCATTGTATTTACTAAGTTCTCTAACATTGTAGGACGAAATAAACCGATAACTTGGATGACTTTGAAGGAGGAGTAATCCAAGGAGCCAGTGTAAAGAACCTTATCAGTCTACGAATGAAAAGGAACGCCGTCGAAAGAAACATGTCTATAAGAAGATAATGAAATAAGTTGAAGTGGTCACGCCGGACAACAATACTCAACCGGATTACCATCTTAGTGATTTGGATGATAATATTACTCATGGTTATGAGTAAAATGTAGGGTGGTTCGAGAGTGGTCTATTGTGATATGATATTGACATGTGATTCCATTATATTTTTTTGTTATGATGTGGATATTAATCCACTTGTAAAAGATACGTGCCTGGGCAGATTGGATATGTAGTCTAATATGTACAGATATTAATCTGGGCTTCCTGGATATCAGTATTTTCAAAGCAGGTTCAATAGTAGCAATGATTACTTCTTTCACTATGCACAAGTGACTTTTTTTGTTACTGTACTCATGTGATGTTTTTTGTTTATATTCTCTCGGGACATGTTAGAGTACTTCCCTATGAGCATTTTTCTATTTAAGACGAATCATACACAAATCCAAATCGACTATCCTCTTCCCTCGGTTTCTTATTCACTTCTCTTCCAAAGCAAAATCCATGTCTGGAGAGACTCGTAAACCAGCGCGCGTGGGGATTGGTGGATGAGTTCGAAAATGATGGTGTTATACTCTATTACCAAGGTTGGAGAGCCGCTAGACGACTTGCTGTTGATGGAGTCAACCCACCGAAGAGGTATTTCCGATGTCTGATATACGAGTACGACAATGATAAGGGGTGTGGTTTTCACATGGATTGGGACGAAGTAAAGTTCCCTACTTTTTCAGAGATGATGAAGATAAAACCGATGAGACAGTGAATAAATGAATCAGTATTTCCTGTCATCATTTTGTATTGTGTTGAGTTTGTTTTTATTTCTGATTCAAAGTGTTATCCATCTTTATCTACTATTAGTCTGGGCTCTAAGGATATTAGTCTACGAAAAGAAGGGTATCGGTCTGGCCTTAAGGACATTAGTCTGAGCTCTATTGATATTAGTCTGGATCTTTCAGATATCAGTCCGGGTCTTTCAGATATTAGTATGTGATTTGCTGATATTTGTCCAAATAAAAAAGGTATTTGTCTGGGATGTAAGGATATTTGTCTGTGCTTTAAGGATATTATTCTACCAAAAGACATATATTTACATGGGAGGTTACAATATATTTTTCAATCAGAACTTATGTTGATAATTATATCCAACATCTGGCAAAATATCCTCCATCCTGCTACAACCAGCATCCATCCCTTAATATTATCCAACCCTAAGTTCAGTTTTACAAACCAATATAACACTACACAAGTCTAAAATCAACTTCTCTTCTCTTCCTTTCCCTTTTTCTTTCTCTTTCTTCATATTCCAATCTTTTGCACCTTGGATTATTTCATCGGTGTGGCGGTTATAGTCCCATAAAATGAGTTTGACAGCAATATGTGATCGTTGTTCCTCCATATGTGGCTGCTTGTGCCAACTTGCTTTATATTCCACTGGAAGGTGACTCGCTCATTGCTCCATGTAAATGCATGCAAATACACTGCAATCATCGTTGCCTATTTGCTGAGGAACGTCGGCAATGTTAACTGGCCACTTATCCAATGCACAATCGACCCCCTGCTCTTTGAGGAACACTGCCGCATACCCAAAAATCATTTTCCCAATCGGTCCATTATCCTTCTTAGCCACTTGGGCATTGGGCTTTATGCTGTCGAGTAAGAAAGTCTTCTTATCTTCATGTCAGCCACGTACACCCCGGTAGTGATCATTTAGATACATTGGAAAAAAAATCTGAAACACAAAGCAGTTAGTGAGTTAATTATTGACTAATATCCTAATAACCCATATTAATATATCAACAAACCAGAATAATATCCTATAAACCTAGACCAATGTCAAGGAAAATCAGGAAAAAAATCCAAATATTGAAGACACTTACGTAATCACATCTTTTCAAGTTTTCCGGTTTCAGAATTAGATTCCTTTTGTGCATAGAAACAATATACGCAGAGAGTTTCGCCTTGTTCATGGGTTGTTTTTTGACAGCATTAGTGACGACTTGTTGCTATTTAGAAGAAACAACAATATTAAATTATACATTTTTAATATAAATAGGATATAAGTAGTGAAGATAATACTTACTACATAGCTTCATGGAAAGACAATTCTCTTCACCACCTCCTTGCGTACTTCTTTGTTATTTAGAAATAGTCTGTTTACTACAAGTACTTGGCTATGCAACCAATTTTTATCCTTCAATGAAAGTAGTTGGGAACGGGTAAGGTTACTGGTTTGAGTATCCACGACAAACTTGCCACTGGAACACACAAATGAAAACCAGGTTAGAAATGTGTGTTGGACAAATTCAAATTGGTGATTAAATAACTCCTCAGTCAACTTACTTGTCTTTAGCCGTGGTGCTGAAGATGAACTCAACCACTTGCAGAGTCGTATCGTCGAGTTTCGTCGATAGAGTCTTTGGCAAAACGTACACTGATTCGCCGAATGGGTGGTGTTTAGACCTATCGAACTCTGGAGTTTTTAGGGTTGCCTTCCACGCTTCCAGTGTGATAGAGTACAGATACTCTGCCTCCTCAGTCTTAATTCTCTCATAGATGATAATATCATTGTTGCTATCCTCCATCCTCTCACATGTTGCTGTTATAAGCTCCTCCTCGGATGGTCCTGCTTCTCCTTGCGTCAGAACTTCAATAGAATGATCGACCACCATAGTCAGAGATGTTGTGATACTCTCCTAAGCAGCAGTAGTGAACTCGACAGGTATCTGCAAAACATTGCCAAAGGCTAGTATCTACTCAAAAAGAAACAAATATCCTAACAGCCCAGGCTAGTATCCATAGAAAAAGAAACAAATATCTGTGATGCTCATGCTAGTATCCACAGAAAAGAAAAAAATATCCTGGCAGTCCGGGCTAGTATCTACTGGTAGGGAAATATTACCGTAGTCGGAGATGTCCCGATACTCTCTTCAGCAGCACCAGTGGCCTGGAAACCAATATGCATCACATTAGCGAATGTCGTATCCGGGTCAGTATAATGTATGACCATTGACTCTGACTCCACCACTTGATCAAAAGTAGATACAATGGCCAGCGACTCCCTCTGCTGAACTACCGGATCAAACACAATGACCGACTCAAGAAATGACTCTGACACCACCACTTCCTCAGCAGTCGACTTACCGACTAACTCAACCATGTCATCACCTATTGTAACCGCAGACACCTCCAACTCCTGAACAACTGGCAACACTGTCTTCTTACGTCCTTTCCTGGAGTACACACGGCTTAACATGCTGTTGTCTCTCACAATACCTTGACTAACCTCCTCTATGACAACTACTAGATCTTCCTCCTCCATGACAACTATTTCCTCTTCCATTTTTGTTTTTGTTGCGTCTACCAAAGACGAAGAAAATACTGTCAATCTGCCCCGATTCCTGGCAAGCTCAGCCCCCACAAAATCAAGCTGGAAAACGGGTGCAAGCATATAAAAGTTATTATCCGGACTGCCCAGATAAGTATTTAACAATTAAGCAACGAATATCCAGAAGAACACAAATTATTATCCGCTTGTGAAAGATTTAATATCCTGAAGTTTTGTACTAGTATCCAGAAAGCCCAAAATACTATTTACTTATGTAGTAACTAGGCTTTAAGGAACTATTGACCCGTGCTTTCATTCCAATATCCATAATGCAAAATATCCATATTGAAAATAACTACTACCCGTTATTAAAACAACTGTCATTCATGCAATTCATAAATAATATCCAAAACAAATGCACACCAATATATCGACAGAAAACAAACTTTTGTTCGATACAACTAATGTTCAAAAACGCATGTTAGCCGTTTAACTTTTTCACTCCCGTCTGCCAATCCACGACTGATCCGAAATCGGCACCCCTCGTTTTCTTGCCCCCGCCCCAGCCGGAAGACATTGTCAACGTCACCCACCGGCATACCTCTATCCAGCCCACACCACCCTCGCCGCCGGTTCTCCAACCGAATCCCAGACATCGAAACTCGCGGCCAAGTTTTATAAACGAAGCCGAAAAAACGACACTCAGACCAACAGAAAAACGCGACGTCGTTTCACCGCTCTTTCCCAAATTCCTTCCTCGCCTGCCGGCCGATTGCCGCACCGGCGATTCTAAGGTGTGAGCAATCATCAAACTGCTCTTCTCTCTCGTTTTCCTTCGAGTCTTGTGACCTAATTAGGACGCCGTAGTCCACTTCCGTCGTGCCAGGAATGCCAGCCTCGCGCTCAATCATCAGTTTGCATTTTGTGCCCATTGTCATCAAAAAAGGGTTTCCGATTCCGAATTTGTGTCCGTTTGGCGACATTAGGGTTTCTGGATTGGGTTTTGGGAGTCCTCAGGTGTTTGTGTCATTTGAAATTGCTTGTTAGCTATTGGATCTGTAGCTGGCTGTTTTTTATGTGATTTCATCCTCTGTGTGATACGTTAGCGAGTTTTTTCTCCCCTGGCATCAATACAATTTACGTAGGGATTGAATTTTGCGCAAAATTCAGTCGACAGTGTGAAGTACAGTAGTTCTCGTGCTTGCTCACTTCGTGTCCATTTCTCAAGCACTTACACAAAATTCAGTCGACAGTGTGAAGTACAGTAGTTCTCGTGCTTGCTCACTTCGTTTCCATTTCTCAAGCACTTACATTATGTGATTTGACTACTTTGCTGCTGTTGATTCTGATATCAGAAAGTCAAACTTTCATTTTATGCGCCTGCTTCGACTGAGAACTTCGAGTATGAAATTAAAGTGGTCTTCGTTCATTTGTCCTCAGGGTCTCTCTTTCTCTTGCCAGTTTCCCTTCTTATCTGAAGCTATTGCGAACATAATGTTCTATATACCTTCTAACTAAGAAGTAAACGTAGTTCATATTGCACTTATGTTCATTCATTGCCTTCTAACTGAAGCCACTTACTCTTTTATTTAATGTTTAGGTTTTGGCTCTTCAAGATAGTGCAATTTACGTGTGGTAGTAATAATCATATCGAATCCATGGTAGACAATGGCCCTCTTTAGGAACTATTCATCTGAAACAATCACAAACAGGCCAACTGAAGGAAAGGTTCATAATCCTGGTAGAATGGTCGGAAGCGAGGATGTTGATGGGTCTTCGAGTGAAAGAGAATTCGATATGAACATGGATCCACGGTACGAAAGTGTGGCTGAACTAGCGGAGAGTAGGATGCAGAATGATGGAGTTCCTGACAATGAAGCTGGTGCAAGTAATTCACATTTTCAGCCTTCTTCTGGAAAGAGAAATGTCTCTGGGAAATGGGGCTCAAGTTTTTGGAAAGATTGCCGACCTATGGGCATGCAGGGCGCATCTGATTCTGGGCAGGACTCAAAATCGGACTTCAAGCATGTTGAGGTTTCAGAAGATAATGTATCAGATGGTGAAGATGACAGATTAGAATCAGAGTATGAAGAAGAGGCAAAAGAATCACAGAAAGTTTTGAAGGGACATTCTGATGTTCCTGCCGATGAGATGTTGTCGGATGAATATTACGAGCAGGATGGGGAAGATCCAACTGATTTGGGTCATTACAAGGGTTTTAGCAATTCAGTCGGATTGAATTCTAGGCAACAGTCAAAGCCTGCGCCAGTTGATAATCATTTGTCTAGGAGTTCAAGTGCTCTGCGGAATAATAGAGTTGACGACAATGATGATGATGCTGATTACGAGGAAGAAGAAGATGGTAACTGCTTCCATTCTCTCGTAACTGGGCTTGCCACAAAACATCTGCTTGATTATAACTCTGTTTGCATAGTGTTTGTGGAAAAGCTGATACGTTCGGAGCTTGGGCTGAAATGATATTTTTATTTGCTTATTGTAGAAGACGATCCAGAGGACACTGACTTTGACCCAAGCTATGGTGGAAATAGTATGCGTCTAGGGAAAAAGGTCAGCATCAGTTTCATTCTCACATCTTTCAATTGATTCCTATGTCTCGTCAACCACTTCATGTGGTTCTGATGTGACTATTGCTACTTGCTATTTGTTATGATGATGAGCCTGTGATTGAATTATTCAACCCACATGGAATGTTAACGATCCTGCATGATATTACTGAATGAGTTTATTCAGTTGTAGTATGCGTCATGCTTAGAAGTTGGCGAAGTGAATGATAGAAACCTAATTTTTGGATTCTATCATAATTATCAATATTGCTATTATTAGGATTTTATTAGATATGGTTAGTAGTCTTTGAGTCACATTAGGTTAGGATAGTCTATTAGGTTCTTTACAATCTTTAGCTATAAATATGTACTTTGGGTCATAGGTTCGATTAATCAGAAATTAATTAGAAAGTTATCTCCCCCAAATCCCTAAACCTCTCCTCTCTTCCTAATCGGCCGTCAGTCATTCTTTCTTCCTCTCCCTCTCAAATTCTTCCCCAAATCTCTATTCTAATCCCTAATTCTCATTCTCTATTCCCCAATATCAATCAAACCCCATTCTCAATCCCGTCCGATAGGAACCCTAGAAATATGTTTCTATCGGTGAATAGCGCAATTGAACCTTATGGCATGTTCTGTAGTCATAATGCAAGTCATGATTATTATGGGTTTTAAAATATGTTCCACATTATAACATTGCTAGAGGTGTTGTTTAGTGCTGACGATTCTAGTTTCACTCTTGAAGCACGATGAGTCCCTTTACAAAAGCTTCGTGCACACAATAATCTTTGTTTATATTGAGAGATGGAAGCCCATTACCGTTAGCAAGAAAAGCTCAGATATACCTTGATCTCACTACCAAATCAGTTAAAGTTGTTGTCTGTATGAATGGCTTAATTATCTTTTGAGGTTAGCTTGTTCTGGCTGAATTTTTTATTGTCCTTTACTTCTGAACAATAATTTTTTTAAACAATCGAACAATCAATTCTATGTTCTCTTATCCTTTTAAAATATAAATTTTATGTCGTCTTCTTTATTGTCTTCGTTTATATGTTGAGTTGTGGATGATCAGTTAGTGCTATATAGTTGGAACTTCGCATACTATCTTGAATTATTTCTAGCGGATATATTGGGTGAAGATAGAATCTACTTTGTTAATTCTTCTCTGGCGTTAATGGTCAACATGTTTCCATGTTTAGTTCACCTAGGACTTCTGCCAATTTGATTGCATCAGCTGAACACCTATTTCTATTCCTGGCATCTGCATTGGTGGGTTTGAATGTAAGTTCTGGACAAGAAAATATTTTATAACGTGAGAAACTTGGTAATCGGCCTGATTTCTGATCTAGAAGTTAACACGGATTGGAGTTCTATTTATCAGATATACGATCACATCTTGAATTCTTTGACAATTGTAGCTCAGTGGGGTTTGGTTTATTTCTTAATTATTGGCGTACATGCTCTTCTATTTTTGAGACAAGATCTGTCATCTTTCTTTAATCATACCTTGTGTCTTTAATTGCTTGTTGTGCCGTAGTGGTGAACTTGCTTATTGCATCTTCTATTATTTTGTTTATTTTGGAAGTTTTTCTTCTGTGGAACGTATTGAGGAATTCTTCTATACTGATCCTAGGATAAAGACTGGGGTGATGACTCGGATGTTGCTGATGACAATTTGGATGTCTTAGATGATGATGATGACGGTGATTTTTATGAGAAAAAAAGACATAAAGGAAGAGAACGGAGTAATGGCCGACATACTTCAAGATCTGCGAGAGAGCTCAAACCCGCACATGCTCAAGCAAGACCGAGAAGAGGCAAACCATCATATGAAGAGGATGAGTTCTCCGCTGAGGATTTTGAGAGTGAGAGTGATGAAGACTTTAAGAGTTTGACTAGAAGAGGAGGCAATTTTCGGAAGTCTAATGCTCGCTCCACTGTGTTGACACATGGTAGTGGACGAAACAATGAAGTGCGTAGTTCTGGTAGGTCAGTTCGGAAGGTATCATATGTTGAAAGTGAGGAAAGTGAAGAAATCGATGAGACAAAGAAGAACAAATCTCAAAAGGTTGGCTTCTTGTGGAGATTATGCAACTTTGTAGTTGGTATCTGTCATTGTCTAATATTTGCAAGATGCATAAGCTTTCTTCCATTTTCCCTGTGTGCAAGTTTCATTTTTATTTTTGGTGCTCTTGTCTGTAAGTGGACTTGTACGCTGACCTTTTGGACTAGAACGTATTGAATTTTCTTGTGGATTCTTTTCTTATTCTTCCTTTATGTGTTAAATTATAGGAGGAAATTGAGGAAGACGATGGAGATTCAATAGAAAAGGTGCTGTGGCATCAACCAAAGGGCATGGCTGAAGATACCTTTAGGAGTAATAAGTCGGCAGAACCTGTTCTTGCAACTCACCTTTTCACTTCCGAGCCAGATTGGAATGTAGTGGAGTTCTTGATAAAGTGGAAAGGCCAGTCACATTTGCATTGTCAATGGAAATCTTTCTCTGAACTACAAAATGTACGAGTCCTTATTTTTTAGTGGTCATATTTAGCCATCATTGGTTATATTTACTACAAGTCTGACAGTTCCTTTGACTGTTGTTGTTGTTTGAATGATATTTTGGTTTCCCAGCTCAGTGGTTTTAAAAAGGTGTTGAACTATACCAAAAAAGTAGTGAAGATGTCAGGTATCGGAGGATGCTTTAGCGTGAAGAGGTAAGTTTATTACATGTTTTGTTTTAGAACTCTCATCTTTGAGGTAATGAATGTGCTGAAATGTCCAGAAGGGAGATATGCCTTCTAAAAACATTGGAATAACGGTTTGGTGGAGCATCATTCTATCAACTAGTCTATAGATTCTCAGTGTCTTATTGCTTATTATGCTTGTTGAAATGTGCCCTCCTATGACTTTGTTTCTTCTGTTTTTAGTATTTTGTAAATATACATGTTGAAGTATTTGTTTCTCGATGTTATTGCAAAGCACAGAAGTACTGGCTATATAGACGACTATGAACTTTTGGCTTCCTAGTTTCTTGTCTGGTTTGTACATTGGACAAGGGCCTTTGTGAATAGTTGTTTTCTGTAACATGTGAATAGTTTTTGATGGTTGGATATCTTGCATTTGGGAGGATCCTCTAGATGTAGCCTATGGAAATGAATAAGATATGTTATGTTTCTCCTGTGTGATTGTTGATCATGGGTGTGCTTTTTCTTGCTCTATCTACTGCATACGGCTGTGAAGGAAGTAGTGCAGTTGTCTTGATGTAGAAAATTTTCATGACTCTTGTGGTCTCTTTCCCAGCTTGCTAGTTTCAGTTTTGTTGCTTTTGCAAAGAAATAAGGTTGCACCAGTTTCTTACTGATGCTCTATTCTTTTCTTTATTCAGATTGAGGTCAATGATGTGAGCAGGGAAATGGATTTGGATCTTATCAAACAAAATAGCCAGGTTTTATTTTTTTTTTTTCTCGACTCTTCAACTATTTCTTTGTTGTCGCATCAACATCTGTTGATCTCAACTCTATCAAAATTATCTTTTCGTGGCAGGTGGAAAGAGTTGTTGCTGCCCGAATAAACAAAGATAGCTCCGGTAATATTATACCGGAGTATCTTGTCAAGTGGCAAGGACTCTCTTACGCTGAGGCAACCTGGTAATTATGTTAGAATTTAAAGTAGCTTTTCATTTCTGGCAACCTTATTTCTTTCTCCTTTACATATCTTTTGGTTTACTGCCGTGCAAATAGTGTTGTTTCTCTGCACCGCAATGGAATACAATTTTTTCCTAATGTTCTGATATCTATCGTTTGATGCTTCTGTGTTGATTCTTACTTGGTTGAGAAAATCCTTGCATTGCAGGGAAAAGGATGTTGACATTGCATTTGGTCAAGACGCGATAGATGAATATAAGGTATTATGCCATTCAAGAGTGATGTTTGTTCTGAAATTGCTTGGCCATTTCTTTCCTTTTTACTTCTACGAAGTAGTTCGGTCCATTACTAATACTTTGCTGCGCAGGCACGTGAGGCGGCAATTGCAGCTGTACAAGGGAAAATGGTGGATTTTCAGCGCAAGAAAGGCAAAGGTGTGCAATGGCAGTTATTGAGCCATTCCTTACACCTAAGTCTTATGTTTGCATAACTATTCGTTGATGCTCGAGTCTAGTTAACGATTCTTCTATACACTGGAATTGTAAGTGGTGGTCATTGATGCTCTTCTCCTCTGATTATAATTACTGGTTTATTTTCATGTGTAGCAAGTTTGAGAAAGCTTGATGAGCAGCCTGAATGGCTGAGAGGAGGAAAACTTCGTGATTATCAGCTGGAGGGCTTGAATTTTCTCGTGAACAGGTATTAATTTGCATTGATTGATTAGGTGGAATATGAAGTTCGGTTTACACCTAAACACATTTATAATCACTTCCATTATTCCCTAACAGCTGGAGAAATGATACGAATGTCATTCTAGCTGATGAGATGGGTCTTGGGAAAACGGTGCAGTCAGTTTCAATGCTTGGCTTTCTACAGGTATGTCTCTCAGTGGACCGTCTGTGGTGATATGCGTATTTCTTTAACTTATCTACGCATACGCCTTTTGGTTCTGCAGTATGCTCAGCAGGTCCCTGGGCCATTTCTCGTTGTTGTGCCTTTGTCCACCTTATCCAACTGGGCGAAAGAATTTAGAAAGTGGCTTCCAGATATGAACATAATAGTATACGTTGGTACGCGTGCCAGCCGTGAGGTAAGGTTTCAGGTGTTTTTAATGCAGCAAGTTCTGTTTTGTGTCAGCGAAGTGGCAATTATATATTGTTTCAGTACTTGCTCGGATTTACTATTTCTGGAAAAGCTTCAGCATCATACTTCCAGTCGCCTTGCTATTATAGGATTAGTTGTTCTTGATAAACATAAGATATATGGAGACCTAGATCTACGGTTTTGCTATGCGTAGATGTGTGGAAACATGAGCCATGGATAAAGTAATCAAGTCTCTTGGTTGACAGTCTGATAACAGATTGGGCATTAGTCCTTCAACGTTGCTTTTGAATGGGTAATAGTAGTCAGCATTCTGGTATTGCCTTTAGCAAACAACTGATATAAGTCCAGTATGAATGTCTCAGGGAAAAATCTTAGCCATGTCAGTTATGCTTCATACTAGTAATCTCTGTACGAACATTGCCATCTATGATATTTTGCTCAATTTCTGTTCATGCTTCATATGTGCAGGTGTCACTTCTTAACATTGTGGTGGAGTTGAAGAAATGTTGTAATCATCCCTTTCTCTTTGAAAGTGCTGATCATGGTTATGGGGGCAACACCTTTGATGACGGAAGCAAACTGGAGAGAATTATCTTGAGCTGTGGAAAGTTAGTAATACTTGACAATTACTTGTCCGACTGCACGAGACAAAACATCGTGTTCTGATTTTTTCGCAGGTTCGTTTCTGTGGCATTAGTCTGTTTTCAGCTTAGCTCTCTGCCCTTGCATGCACCAGTGCCTACACATTTCTACTCTGCCTCTTCTTTTTTCATTCCCTTTATGACTTGGGGTGCTGCCTATGTCTTCCCTCTGTCAGTGTTTGGATTCCATTGGTCAAAGTTGAAGTGATGTGGCATACTAAAATGCTAAATTCAAATATATGTCTCATTATGTTTATTAATTACTGATTTATTGTTGATCTTAACTTGTTCCTTAATGAGTCGAGCCTTGACTGAGCTGCTGCAGATGGTCAGAATGCTGGACATACTTGCTGAGTATATGTCACACAGAGGGTTTCAATTTCAGAGGCTTGATGGTAGTACCAAGGCCGAGTTGCGTCATCAGGCAATGGAACATTTTAATGCACCTGGAAGTGATGATTTCTGCTTTCTTCTATCAACTAGGGCGGGTGGTCTTGGTATAAACCTTGCTACTGCTGACACAGTTATAATATTTGATTCAGATTGGAATCCACAAAATGACTTACAGGTCTAGAATTGGATCACATCTCAAATTCTTGTTTTCTTCCTTTCATAGGTTGTGCCATTAGCCTTATCTTACTTAATGTCCCATGCTCAACTCCTACTTTGTCATTACAGGCTATGAGTAGAGCTCATAGAATTGGGCAACAAGATGTTGTTAACATCTATAGATTTGTAACAAGCAAAAGTGTCGAGGAGGATATCCTGGAGCGAGCTAAAAAGAAAATGGTAGTGTGCTTATTTTATGTTTAACTATATTATAGTTTTCAATTTCCTTTCCCGTTCTTTTGTTATTCCATATATGCACGTGCATAGGTAGTGCACATTTGTGTGGGTTTGTATCTTACAAGGGTCTTGAAATCTGTAATAGGTTCTTGACCATTTGGTGATCCAAAAGTTGAATGCCGAGGGGAGATTAGAAAAGAAAGAAGCAAAGAAGGGAAGTTATTTTGACAAAGTAAGGAGATGTCAGAACAGACTTGTACAGCAGACTTGTGCACTTGGTGGCTGTCTTTCAAACATTAATAAGTTCTTATTCCCACATCTGCAGAATGAATTGTCTGCAATTTTGCGGTTTGGGGCAGAGGAACTATTTAAAGAGGAAAGAAATGATGAAGAAAACTAGAACAGGCTCTTAAGCATGGATATTGATGAAATCCTAGAAAGAGCAGAGAAAGTTGAAGAGAAGGAAGGTGAACAAGAGGAAGGGCATGAACTGTTGAGTGCATTTAAGGCAAGACCCTTTTTACAGCAGAGATTCAGTTTGGTTTCTTCTGCATGACTAATGTTTAGTTTTTTTTGCTGTGCTGCCTTGTTAACTTAATTTACAACATATCTATGCTTTCAAATTAAGCATGTCATAAATTTTCTGCTGATGATCTCCAGGTTGCTAATTTTGGTTGTGCGGAAGATGATACAAGTTTCTGGAGTCGGTGGATAAAACCAGATGCTGTAGCTGATGCTGAAGTATGAACTCTCATATATGTGCTTTCTATACATGCATCTGATTTTTCGGTTGCAAACTCTTTCTGCACCTATTGTTAATGGTCATAGAAAAACGTGTCCATTTAATTGTGAAGACTCTAAGCATGTATACATTGACAATCTAAAACTAAAAAATAGTTGGCGTGCTGACACTTACGACATTGTTTTAAATCATCTGTAGGTTATTTCTTATCAAATTGACAATTAGAATAAGCACATCGTTCGACAGAAAAAAACTGAAATGAATATTATATTATACCTGAATAAAATGGATAAGTACTAATGCCTAGGATCAAGATTCTGAGTGTATGGGCACATAGCTTGTGATGCTGTTGAAAGTCCTCTGGTATTTGTTGACTGTAAGAAAATATACATGAGTGGAATTTAGCTGATAAGTATGAGATGTCTTTTGTTTGACAACAACCTAAGCTTTCCCCTTGGAATGCCTGCTCCTAGTGCTTCGCTGTGTCTAGCATTTCTGGACATCTATCTGAATATTGCAAAGCACATCTCGGGAGCATTGTCGAGTGTCTAGCATTCACTAAAATGCTTTCTAGTTTGTTGATGTTGTTGCTTATCTTTCTGCTTGTTGATTATTGTAACTGATAGTTTAGTATGAGGCTATTATATTAAGTTGAGTGCTTTTTTAGACAGTAACTAATCTTGTTTCCTCTGGCAAATATGCATGGACAGCTAATGAAATTTGGGAACCTTAGCCAACTTGATTTGATAGCTGCTGAAGTTGGCGGAGTCTTTGCAGCAGCTCCACAAGATGCACAGATTGAGCTTTTCGATGCCTTGGTATAGGGTTGCAAAGAGGCTAGTGAAGTAGAAAGTATGGACCCAAAGGTTGGTTACTTGGAAGCGAAGGTGCCCCATTTTATTTTTCTCTCTTCCTTTTTGGCCACATCTCACCCACCTTTTGGCGTATCACTTTCTGTTTGTATTGAAGCATTCTCAAGGCTGGGCTAACTCTATCAGTGCGATCTTCTTTCTGTAGGGGCCATTGTTAGATTTTTTTGGTGTTTCAGTGAAGGCCAACGATTTGCTCACTCGTGTTCAAGAACTGCAGCTACTGGAAAAACGAATAAACCGGTATGAGAATCCTGTTGCACAATTCCGTGTGTTGTCAGACCTCAAACCTTCCAATTGGTCCAAGGGTTGTGGCTGAGCAGTCCGTGGCTTTCTGACTCTTTGGGGGCTGATGGGTTAGAGTGTATTATGTTCCTGCATTATCTTTTGGGTTAAGACAAACCAGGTGGCAATATTTTGCTGAACTATAGAGATGTTTTGTCTTGTTATATTTTTCATGTGACGAATTGCTTAGATAAAATGTTATGGTCTCTCTGTTTTCTGTCTATACCAGGAACTTGCAGCTGCCGGTGGTAAGTATGCAAAGGTTAAAGCAGGACGGAAGGCTGCTAAGAAGGTAACTGGACCTCTTCCAAATTCTTCGGCATTTCGAATCAGGGATAAGGTGAAACCTAATGTCGGAACTGTTAATAATACCCATAGTGGCAGGAATAGACAAAATCAGAAACCACAACAGAGAGTTGAACCCCTAGTGAAAGAGGAAGGTGAGATGTCAGACAATGAAGAACTGAGCGTGCAATTTAAGCAAATGAAATGGACGGAGTGGTGCCATGATGTCATGGTTGATGAGATAAAAACGACTGAAACGACTCCACAGACGGAAGAAATCTGGTTATCAATTGTCAGACCCAACTCAGAAAGTCTCGACACTGCAAAATTCGAATCATGGAAAAGACAGAAGAAGAGCTGAAGCTGATATACCTTTACAAGCACAGCATACCCTCTCCCAAGCTCAACCACAGGCGGTGAATAATAATGGCAACCGTGTGGTTGACCGTAATTCATTGGTGCAGCACCATCTGATAATAGGCCGTTCAGTAATGGGAGGCCTTACAGAATGCGCCAAGCTGGTTTTCCTGCGAGATGAGAAGAATGCGCCAAGCTGGTTTTCCTGCGAGATGAGAAGAACTTCCATCAGTATAAAGTAAACCCAAGTGCTTGATGGAATGAGGAGAATTCAAGTGAAAGACATATCATGCTCAGCCATGAGCATTCCCATTTTGGTGGCATAATCACAAGCTCAGCCACTGGGGGGGACACTGCATCAGCCTTGTGGGGACTCTATATAATAAAGTTTTGGAGATCACTGCTCGTGGTTCTTTTGTTGCTGATACCGAAGATATCTGCAAGATGGGGAACTGGCATAAACTTTGAAAGGTGCCTGGTTGGTTGCGGGAAGATATGTGATGGTCGGTTTAACATATAAGCAGGCGGTAACAGTTTTGGTTGCGTGACAATTTTCTAGTTCTTGGGTAGAGAAAACTGGGATGGGAATTAGTTTGTTTTACAGTTTACATACATAGTAAAAGAGTTTAGAAAAAGAGAATATTAACTCCTCACTTGAGCTGGAACGTAGACAAGTGAGTAGCCTCGAAACAGTTTACATGTATGTTGATGGTATGGGAGAAAAGTTGTACATTTTTTTTTATGAATTTTGTGCTATTTTGAAGAGTAGTAGTTCATTAGTCTCAACCACTTGGGTGAATGGTTGAATCTCTCTGTCTCTCCCTCGCTGTGAGTGTGTGTTGCGTTTATTGTTATATCCGTAGCTTATTAACAGCTGATGATGTATTGTAAAGGCGATTTTGAATTTTGATGCACAAATCGGCTGACTGTTGTTTTATTTTTTTTGTATGTGATGCAGGGATGAACGTGTTGATGATCAACTTGACTTTGGAGAAGAGTGTGAGGGTAGGCAACAGCAGCGGAAGGGAAAATTAGGGTATACCGGTAAACCGGCTAACCGTCGGTAGATAGAGCTGCTTGTGAGGGTAGGCACAGTGTGAGTTTGATCTTTTCAGCAGAGCAGCGGCAGCAAAAACAACACGCAGAGCAGGAGAGGCGAAGCAGAGTTCAACAGCAAAACATAAAAAAATGTAAAAATTTGCCCCATTTATGTTTTGTAATTCGTGAATAGCGCTTTATTTGAAGGAAGAATGGCTTAAGGCCATGATTTGTTGGTTCCACGCTTGGTTTGGCTGTTTGATCAGCTTTATTGTTTAGGTGCTGTCTATTAATTTGATTGTATGGATTTTGTGTTTTGGGATCACTTTGTTTTGGAAGAATTTGGAATAGATTCATTCATTCAGCTATTGCCCATCGGTACATAGAGCTGCTTGCTATCTCTCCTTTCTCCTGTCTAATAATTACTTACTGCTGGTGTTTGGGTGCATGCACGGGGGATGGATTATAAATTGTTTTGTGTATTAATAATTGGTTAAGTTGTATGATTTGTGTCTTTCTATAATTAGTCATCTTATCTGAGGGCGGATTCTCACATTTCCCTCTCGCACGCGGTATATCAGGTAACTGGCTAACCTTCAGGAATTCGGTATAATTGTCAGTAACTATATACCGAGTTTCGGTTACCAATAACTGGTTAGCCGTTTACTAGTTAAACCGGTTACCGATCAAATACCAGCTCTAAACTTGATGATGCAACAGATGTGGTGTTGTTCTGCTACTTGTGGCAGGATAGTAGAGGGTTACCGAGTGTTGGCTGCAAAAGAGGTACCATTTTCCGCATCCCATTTACGTGTTTGGCTGTGAAGTTAGTTGCTCATAATAGTATAATACTATGCTATATGCCCTTCACTTTAATAACCTCCTATTTCATTGACGTATAGATTAGAAACAACAACCAAACAACCTTTGTAATTACATCTCACAATCACAATCAAACTTCACAAGAAATCATATCAACTTTTTTCTAATTACATCTTAGAAGTTAGAACAATCAACCTGTGCTCAATGCTTATGCTAACATGCTATTTTGTTGCTACCTACTAGTACTAGTAGAAGGTTGAATAAGACCCTTGTGAGGTTTGTGCTACCCTTCCCTGCCAAAAGTAATTCACAAAAAAGCCAATCTCCAATAACAAGTTTGGTCTGTATACATTTGTTAGTGAAAGAACTCTTGGCTCGGCACACCAACAGTGATCAAGCAGCAAATCAGGGAAAAAATTGCAGAATACTCTAATTATTAAAAAAAAATCCCCAAATACAGTTTTTATAAAATTATTTCCCAAAGTACAGTAGTTTCAACATCATTGTCGATGACGAAGACAGTAATTAAAATCACCGTTTTTGTCCAGAACGGTGATGCTATCACCGCTGAAGAGAAAAACGGGGAATCAATCCCCGCGTTAGTAAAAGACGGGGATAATGTGACCGTTGACAAGGGAAACGCTGAAGCTATAATGACCGTTGATGTAAAAAACGGTGAAGTGGCGCGGATCGCTGAAGTGGACGCGCGCGGGCACTTCACCGTTAATGACAAAAGCGGTGATAGCCCCGCCCGCCATGTCACCGATCCTTGTCGTCAGTACCCTTCACCGCTACCGTCCGATGCGGTGAGGCGCGGATTGTGGTTTTTCTACACGATCCGACGCCTCACATGTCATCACGTCAGCGATCCGAGCCTTCGCCGCTTTTCTTCAACGCGGTGAGTTCACTGCTTTTAAGAAACGCGGTGATTGGTGCCCTGAAATTTCCAGCTCCCCTTTCCCCCCTATAAATACCACTCCCCCCCCCCCCTCATTCCAAACCACACCACCATTTTATACTTCTTTTTTCCTCCATTACTTCACTCTAGTTTCGTTCTAACTATGCTTTGTGGTTGCGGCTAAGTCCGATTTTCCGCATCAGAAAGAATTACTAGAGTTTTTGTTTTGTCGATACTCTCTCTAGCTTTTCGGCAAAAAATGAACGAAGAGGCTCTGAGAGTATGTAAATTTATTTTTTTTCTTTTGTGATTTTTTTTAAATGGGTGCTGAAATATAAATTGATTTGATTTCTTATTTTTTTTTAGATGGGTGCTGAGATATACGACCCTCGATTGTATATCGATCCTGGCCCAAGGGATCGAAGGTATTCAACCGGGCAAGATCAACATCGCTCCCCGTGCAATTTGGAACAATAATCCGATAAACACTCCTCGCCGTTTTTTTAAAATTATTTCATTAGTCTAAAAGTTTTTATTTTGCTTTCTATTGACTGACAACATTTTGTTTTTTGTTTTGTAGGAATCACTTATTCCCACAGTCATCGAGGGACATGTCGATTGCCCCGTTGGCATGCTCGATTGGCGCCCTATCTATAGAGGACGGGATTGCAATTTGCACATGCTGAGGCACTTCATGAGGCTTGATATTGACAACGATCTGCTGACGGCAATGGCAGAGCGATGGCTCCCCGAGCTGCATACCTTCCACTTTCCCGAGGGTGAAATGACGATCACCCTCAAAGATGTTGCCATCCTCATCGGGCTCCCGATCACTGGAGATGCCACCATCGACAACTCGAGAAAACCGGAAGATGGTTGGGGGCCGTTGATTCAAGAGCGTTTGGGGTTCAATATGCCGACCACCACGCCTGTCGAAGGGGTTGGGCATCCACCACTGAATGCGGGGGAAGTATCGATCCCGTGGCTTGTTGAACACATCCAGTTGGAGGTTAATATAGGCCCGGACACTCCTGAAGATCAGGTGGAGCGGTATGCACGTGTCTACCTCATTGGCCCGCCCATACAAGTCCTTTCTGCACAAATGTCACGGAGTTCTTGCCACGAGAATCTCGACTCAATTTTTAGCATAGTGGATTCGCCATTTTCATAGTCGATCCCAATGTTCGAGTTTGTCACCCCACCATTCCACCGAATAATAAGCCGAAACTTCTTAAATTTACCCATGTCTGCAATTTATAATAATTAAGTATAGTATATAATTATTACATTAGGGATACAAAAAAATATCATCCAAACCCATAAACAACCGCAACTAATTGATCTATCATGAGAAAACTAAACAAATTCATCTAAATTCATAACTAACTAACTAACATCAATCATATCATAATTAATCTAAATATCTCATAACATATTTGCCAATAACGACAATTCACTAAATACAGACATATAATTACTAATACATCAACATGTAAACAATACATAATTATGACATACCGAATCCCGATGAGTTTCTTGTTGTTGTAAACCAACTCCAAACCAGCTGAGAAAACGACCAAAAAATCACTAATTCTTGTACTAATTTGTTGTAAGGCAGCAGGAGGGACGTGAGGGTCGGTTTTTTTAAGGAAATATGCCAGCTAATCACCGCAGTGGACAAATGCGGTGAACACATCACCGCTTTTGGCCAAAACGGTGATAGCTAGGTCGTCGTGACCTAATTTTCCACCTACCAGGGCTCTAAAACGTGGTCAAATATCACTGTTTTGGTCCACAGCGGTGATGTAATCACTGTTTTGCACAACAGCGGTGATGCAATCACCGTTTTGGACGGTGGCGGTGATATAATCACCGTTTTGAATTAAAGAGGTCATAGGATCACCGTTATAAAGGAACGCGGTGATACCTTCACTGTTATTTTCGAAGGCGGTGATTATAATCACTATCTTCGTCTTCGACAGTGATGTTGAAACTACTGTACTTTGGAAAATAACTTTATAAGTACTGTATTTAGGAAAAAATTTTAATAACTAGAGTATTCTGGGATTTTTTCCGCAAATCTGCAACATAAATCCGCAAGGATGAATTGTAAAAAACAACCATTCCAATTGCTTGCTTAAGCTGTTCTATCGTCATAATTTTTGGCAACGACGTTGCTTGCCGTAATTATCAAAAGGAGAAGAGAACTTCTCTAACTACAGAACAAGCTAATTACAGATGTCCAACAAGCTTTTGTCCTGAAATTGAGTAACCAAAGAAGAGCAGGTCGAGAAATAAAGAGCCCAAATAATAATTAAAAAAAACCTGCTCAACACTCATAGAAACTGACACTCTCGGGTCCTTCCCACTTTCCCCCTGCATGCATCCCCAGATTCAAGAAATAGAGAAATAAAAAACGTCGTAGCCTTGACCAATTATCGTTGTCTACCAACCAGCACGCGAGCCCTACCAGAAACCCTAGCCGCTCCTCCGACGGCTGAAGCAACGCCGATCGCATCCATCACCAACACATCGTCTTCCATCGCCTTCAGCGGACCGACGCCGAAGACCGAGGACTTCCTCGCGTTCTCTAAAGAAGACAACGACGACAGGGGCGATGAAGACGCCGTGGATCTCCAAAAGCTGGTGCCGCCGGTTGTAACAATCTGGATCTACTCAGCAGGCTTTACTCTAGAACACAAGAGGAAGGGGACAAAGAAGAACAAGGAGAGAGAGAGAGATAAGAGAGAGAATGGGAGGGAAAGTTTGTTATGTTTCTATCGTATCTAATATCTACAACCGAAACAACGTATACCTCTGTCAGTCGGTCGGTTTCGGTTTAACCGAAAATCAAAAATTTGGTTTTCGGTTAAACCGAGCGACCCCCTAGCACTACCGACCATCGACCGGCGCGTTTCACACGGTCATAGCCTAACCGATCGGTCGGTTATCGGTTATAACCGCGGTTAGCCGAATTAAATATAAAAAATAAAAACCATTTTTTTTTCTCTCTCGGCCAAACTCAATTCCCATTCTCTTCTTCTCCGAACTCATGGAGACATGGACAAAGACCAAGGATTCTGTTTCCTTCTCACTTTCGCGGCCGCGGTTCATCTGCTCAACGACGACGGATGGACGGGAAAGAGGAAGGATGGAGGCGGCTGCGCGAGGCGACGTGATGAGGACGGGATCTGGGCAGCGGCGAGGAAGGGATCTGGATGGGTGCGACGCTACGAGGAAGGATCTGCATGGCGGCGAGGAACGGAGGAAGGCGGCGGCAGTGAGGTGACAAGGAAGGGAGCTGGGCGACGGCCATGACTCGTGAGGGTGAGGGTCTGATGAGGGTCTGATTATAGGGTTTCAGATTGGGGTTATGGGTTTTATATGTCATTTTTTTTGCAGGGAGGGCAATATATGATGGTTGGTCGGTTTGGTTCGGTTTTTTCGGATAACCGCGGTTAATAATGGTCAGTTACTCGGTTATCCGAAACTTTTTATTCTCCTCCGTCCACCGACCGAAGTAATTTTAGTCTCGGTTTTTGGTTAGCCGAAAACGGGTCGGTTCGGTTGTAACCGACGGTTCTCCGCTAACCGGAAACCGAACTGCCAGCCGTACTTAACACTGTGTTTGGGAAGAGGTGTTTTCTCAAAAAAAAAAAAATTTGGGAAGAGGTGCTAATAGGAGAAATGCAAGTTTGGGGGTAAACACAAGTTTCAACGTGTTCATCCCTGTTTGGTTATTTTGTAAATAGTAGTGAGTGCAAAACGTTAGTGCAAAATTCACTATTTCATCTTACCCTCCGAATTGGGGTGCAAGAGAAGGAAGTAAGGGGGAGGAGGAGAGAGGAAATTATGGATTTTTTTAATTATATTATAATTAAATAATAATTAATATTATTAACTTTTTCTTATAGCTATCATTAATGTAGAGGTTGTCCGGGGTTGACCGTTTGACTTCGATAGCAAGTTTGTTAATGTTCGTCTAATCAAATCGATATCACTTGGGTGACTCGAATTTGCATGAAAATTAGAGATAAGATAAGAAGCATTTGTGGAAAAGATAAAGATGACTGGTTTAGTTGATTAAATAGTTAAAACTTACAGAGTTGAATGTGTTTGACTAAGTTTGACCATATTCAATTTAAGGTTAGGCACGAGACCCCCCTTAGGCAAGTTACGAGTTGGGTTTCGAGTTTCGAGGTCGTTCGACCAATGATTATTAGTGTTGTTATATTCAATTATTATTTAAGTATTATTATATAATAATAATTTTTATTATAATATAATTAATAATTTTTATTATAATATAATTAATAATTTTTATTATTATATATTGATTTTTATTTATACTATTTTGAGATAATATTTTATAAATCTATTTTATAATAACATAATTACTTACTTTTCACTCAATTTGCGCCCCCTACTTTTTTCATCCAAACAACAATTTACCCCACCAAGTTGCACCCCCCAACAATTTACCCCTAGAATTTGCACCCCCCTTGTTGCCAAACATAGTGTAAGTATCCTCTCCTAAAGTGACAGCTGTAAACCACCCCCACGCTACAATTATCACAGTTTTAATCTTCGTACTTCCTATTCTTTACATTTCGATCTTCGGCTGTTACAAAGTCCCACCCTTTCAGAGGAGACTTGTCCTCAAGTCTGGAAGTCTGGAAATTTCTTCCACGGCTTAGTGAGGAACTCCCACGTAGCATCCTCCTCCTGTTGGTGAGACCACTCAACCAGGAATTGAGTCACAGACTGATTATTTTGGGCCACTACCCTTCTTTGCAAGCACTGGAACTAGTTCCAGCTTGAGTGTTCCTCCATCATCAACTTCTGGTAATTCTGGTTGGACTTAAACCCTAGCTCCGCTAGCTTGCTTGAGTTGGGACACATGGAACACGTCATGGATTAAAGCTCCGGTAGGAAGCTGTAGTTTGTAGGCTATTGATCCCACTTTTTTAAGTATAAAAAGGGTCCATAGAACTTAGGAGCCAATTTCTGGTTAGCCCTTTGTTCCACTGAAATCTGCCTATAGGGCCTAAGCTTCAACTACACCCGATCACCTTCCTGAAACACCCTCACCGTCATATGCATGTCTGCCATTTGCTTCTGACGATTCTGAGCTCTGGCAAGATTCTGTCTTAAGAGGCCCACCAACTTCTGCTGCTCACTGAGCTTATCAACTACAGCGGCTACATAGGTGGAGAGGGGGTTTTGGACTGCAAATTGAAAAGGATGGTAACCGTAGAGAGCCTGAAAAGGAGTCACCTGCAAGCTGTGATGGAAGTTGGTGTTGTACCACCATTCGGCTAAGGGCAGCCAGGTCACCCAATAAGAGGAACCAACCAATATAATACAACGAAGATAGCCCTCCAAGCACCTATTTAACCGTTCAGTCTGGCCATCAGTCTGCGGGTGATAGGTTGTGGAGTAATGTAGCTGGGTACCCTGCTGCTCAAACAATGCAATCCAAAAATTGCTTGTAAAGATCACACCCCTATCTGACACAATGGTCTGGGGCATTCCATGGAGTCGAAACACATCCCTCATAAACACCTGAGCTACTACTGACACAGCAGTGTATGGGCTTCTCAACCCAAAGAAGTGTCCATACTTGGAAAACCTGTCAATCACCACCAAAATCACCTCCTTACCTCCTAACTTTGGAAGACCTTCCACGAAATCCATGGAGATATGCTGCCAAGCACGATCAGATATAGGCAATAGTTGCAGAAGGCCAGGGTAAGGAACATTCTCACTTTTGCATTTTTGGCAGATGTCATATTCAGAATTCCACTTCATCACATCCCTCTTCACTCCGGGACACCAGAAATATCGTTTTAATCGTTGATATGTTGCTTGTGTACCCGAGTGCTGCCTCATTGTCCCAGTAGAACCAATGTAGATGGCTGATTTGTGGTATAGTCACCCTTGCTTGAACTCATTAATCTTCGATCCAGTAGTAGGCACATAAGCCTCTCCCATCTTATCCTTGACCCACTCATCATGCTCGTAAGTAGACTCCAGTAGTAGCACAGCAGTAATGGCTTCACAACCACCAGTAGTGAACTCAGGATGTCTTGATAAAGCATCCGCTACCCTGTTATATCGACCCTGCCTGTACCTGATTTCATAGTCCAACCCCAGCAATTTAACTAACCCCTTCTTCTGTATTTGAGTATATATCTTCTACCCAAGAAAATGCTTCATGCTTTCGTGGCCTGTCAAGATAATGAATGGCCTGCCCTCGAGATAATGGCGCCATTTAGTGACTGCCAAAAGTACAGCAAGATACTCCTTCTCATAAGCAGACAACCCTTGCTTCCTTCTTCCCAAAGCCTGACTGAGATAAGCAATTGGAAGACCCCTTTGGGGCAACACAACACCTATTCCGACATTACTAGGATTAGTCTCCAGTATGAATGGTTTGCTGAAATCTGGTAAGGCAATCACATGAGCCTTAACCATGGTTGTCTTGAGTTGTGCAAAAGCTTCCTCTGCTGCTGCACTCCACATGAACCCATCTTTTTAAAGTAACTCAGTCAATGGTCGACTAATGGCTCCATAGTTCTGAACAAATTTCTTCTAGTATCCAGTGAGACCCAAGAAACCCCGTAACTGCTTCACATTCTTAGGTCTAGGCCAAGAGACCATAGCTGAAATCTTTGTCGCATTAGTTGAGACCCCTTCCTTATTGATGATATGCCCCAAGTACTCAACCTGTGTTTGGCCAAAAGAACATTTGGAGGGTTTTGCATACATGGTATGTGTACGAAGGATGGCTAAGGTAAGCTGTAGGTGATTAACATGGCTGGTTTCATCAGGGCTATAAACCAATATATCATAAAAAAAATACTAGGATGAATTTGCGAAGGTAGGCTGAAAAAATGGTGTTCATGAGAGACTGGAAAGTGACAGGTGCATTTGTTAAACCAAATGGCATTACTAAGACTGGAATGTGGGTTCTAAAAGTGATTTTGTGTTGATTGGCGGGACTCATTCTGATTTGGTGATAACTAGATAGGAGATCAAGCTTGGTAAAGTATTGGGAACCTCTCAGTTCACCCAGCTGGTCGTCTATACCAGGTATGGGAAACTTATCTTTCAAAGTAATGGAGTTAAGTTGCCTATAGTCTACACAAAATCTGGAGGCACCATCCTTCTTAGCTACTAACAACTAGAGGTAGCAATTCTCAATCCAATCCACCAATCCAATCCACCAACCCATTAAAAATATCCACTTAATCCAATCCATTTAATCCAAATCCAATTGGATTGGTGGATTCATGGATCAATCCACGGATCCAAATGACAAATTATGGGTTGGTACCTATACCTTTTATATTTTACATTTTGGTACCTAAAATTTAATTTTTATACGAAAAATCTCATTGGAAAATTACGTATTGGTACCTAAAAATTTTCATTACGACATTTTAGTACCTAAACTTTTCACATTTTACATATTGGTCCAAGGTTGAGGATGTCATTTGGATTCATTCAAGCATTTCATGAGTCATTTTATCTACTATATCTTTCTGTGGTAAAGGGTATCGATAGGGTCGGAGGTTCACAGAGTGTGACTTGGGTTGAAGAGGAATAGTGTGGTCACAAGGTCTGGAAGGAGGAAGGGTTGTAGGCTTTCCAAACACATCTGAGTACTCTTGGACAACTGGAAGTAAGAAGGAAGGAATCACACCTGGAAGCTTGACCTCAACCATGCTTAAGAGATGTCCTGCCCAGCCCTGAACCTTCTTCTTCAACAGCTTCTGAATACCCTTCCCTGAAATGATCTTACATGAGCCAACTTCTTGTTCCCAGTTAAAACCACCTCTTGTCCCCCCAACTGAAAGAACAACCACAACTGCACAAAGTCGAACTTAACTGGACTGATGGTTCTCAACCAATCCAGCCCCAAAACCATGTCATGGGTCCCTAAATTCAGTATACGAGCATCAAAGCAAGAAAATGTCCCTGCATCTCGCATGTAAAGGAACTACAAGCATAATTACTTAACAAGACTGTTCCATCAGCTAACTTCACCTTCAAAGGAGGAGCAGAAACCACACTACACTTCAATTCAGCTACCTTGGATTGGTTCAAGAAGGTGTGCATGCTACCTGTGTCCACCAAAATCAATAATCGATGCTTTCTCACCTTGCATTGAACCACTAGAGAGTTAGTTTCACGACCACTACTCAGAGTCTGCAGAGTCACTTCTTCAGTCTCACTGCGCAAATCCTCCTAATCATCCTCACTCCAAGCTTCTGGTGCAATAACCTCCCCAGCATATGCTTGTATTGCATTCA